CTTCCAAGCTCACCCTTCCTCTACCTGTAACCTCACAACCTCTCAGTGGCCCTGGGGGCCTGGCAGAGCTAGGGGACTCCTCGCATCTCACCCCAGGGGGAACTGAGGCCCAAGGGATGTGCCACGGTCACACAGCAGCTTAGTGGCAGAGCTGTGCCTTTGGCTGGTCAGCGTTGAGCCCTTAAAAATATTCCACCCTTGACCCCCCACCCAGAGTCACTATCTGACCCCAGACCTCCATGGAGAATTTCTAGCAGCTTCTTCCTGTGTCTTTATTAAGTTCTTAAAATCAGTCATGCCAGCAATTTTGTCTTTTCAAATCGTTGAAAAGAAGCTACTCTGCCTCTGCCTGGACACCCCCAGACAGGCTGCTGTCCCTGGGGACTGTCTATGCGCACCACCCTAACTCCACAAACCCTGGGGTCACAAACACAGGCCCTCAAGAGGCAGAAAAGGCTCACACCTGCTGTGAGTGTAACACGAGTGTATGAGCAGCACAGGACCCAGATCCCTTGTTCACCTAAAATCCACTTCCCTGCACATGGCCTGGCTCCTAGTATGGGCTCAGCAGATGTTTATTGAGTGAATAGATGATTAACTGCCAGGCCTGGTGATGAGAACATGCCATGCAAACTCCCACTGCACCCTCCCCCTCCACACACCCCTGAGGGAGACACCACCAGCGCCCACAAGAGCCCTTCCCTGGATCACACAGCTGGTAGGTGGCAAAGGCTACATTTGAACACAGACCCGCTCACTCCAGGCTCTGGAGCATTACTCTCCCCTTGTGCTGATCACAAGAGCATGGAGGTCCAGCAGCTACATACATGTGCAGGTCACACTCACAAATGTGGACACGGGTCCCACGGGCACACTGCTGGCCCACATGGCAATCCTTTATTTTCAAACACATAGTGCTTACTCTGTGCCCAACGTACTGTTCCAAGTATATACTTTGTACTCAATCCTCACAGCCACCCTGCAACGTAGAGACCGTTATTATAATCAACATACAGATGAGGAAACCAAGGCACAGAGAGGTTATGTGACTTACCCAAAGTCACACAGCTAGTGAATGAAAAAGCCAGAATCGGAACCTACACAGCCTGGCTCCAGAACGCATGCTCTCTCCAGACCTCAGGACCCCGGAGCCAGGAGCTCTGGGTCCCCACCACCCTCAGCCGTGGGAGGAGGGCTGGACAATATTTGTCAAAGCCCAATTCACAGAGGAGGAAACAGGTGTGGAGAAAGAAGGTGGCCTGCTTTGGGGTACACAGCTGTGTGAGCCCAGGCTGTGAAGCCCAGAGCATCTGCATCAGTCCCAGCCCCCTGGGGGTTCCCCCAGCCCTGCCCATCTCCCAACCCTTCCCTCTGCCCATGGTGCCCTCCCCCACCCGGGAGGACTGAGGAGGAGTGATTGCCTGGTGACAGCCTGGTCAGGAGGAAATGAGACCTGAGACAGGAGCATCACCTCTCAGAAAACAAAGCTCCAGAGACCCTGAGAAGGACGTGATGAAACCAGAGGCCTAAAGGAGCCCATTCCTCATCCATTTAGAACCAGACAGCACAGAAATGGATTTTCTCTTGAGAGCTCTTGTGAACACACTTCAAAGCCACTGATGGCAGGAGTAGGAAGTGAGAGGGAGGGAGGGAGAGGGGCCTTGGAAGTAACGCAGGGCCAGGCAGCAGAGAGAAGGGAGAGGGCCAGGCAATCACCGTCAGAAGAGGCAATTGGAAATTCCATTTGGGTTTTCAATTTGAAGGTGGAGAAAGGCCAGGAACTTGGGGGGAGGGGGTGTGGTGACTGTGGAAGAGAAGGAAAGAGTCAGAGATAAGGAGACAGAGACACACAGAAAGATGGGGAGGCAAAAGCAAATTACAAGATCCCCGGTGTCCCCCCCAACACACAATTCAAAAAGGTCACACACACACGCTCACCCACGCTATTGCTCAGGACTCAGAGACCTGGGTTCTAGTTTTCCCTCTGCTCTTGAAATACCCTGTGACCCTGCAGACGACCCTACCTCCCTCTGAGCCTTGGGGTTCCCCCCACCAAGGCCTGGTGAGGTTAAGTTGGTTCCAGGAAGGCCAGGAAGGAGACCGGGACGGGGCACATGGGCGACAGAGGCCAGGGAGGTGGCCTCACTGTGATGCTTCTCCTGTGTGGCCAAGGGCCTGGGCTGAGCAGGCACCGAGGGGCATCCAGAGAAGGGCCAAGGCCCAGCGTTTCCACGTGTAGATGAGGAAACAGGCTGAGAGCAGGAAAGCACCCTGAAGCCAGGCAACCAGGACAGGAACCCACCTGTGAGACCTCACGACTCCCGCCCCCCGCCTCCCACAGGGACAGGGACAGAGCAGGAGGGAGCTGCCCTTTCAGAGCCTGTCCCATCAGGGGTCCAAATACAGGCCTGGCACTTCTTAGGTGCCCATATGCGGGCACGTCTTTCTTGCTCAGTGTGGGGCGGACCCGTCTGTAACATCACTGACCCACCCAGTCCCTATTCGGGTAATAAGAACTTTACCCGTATTAACTTACTGGCTCCTCACACCCACTTTATTACGGAGCTAAGTCCCATTTAACAGATAAACAAACTGAGGCACTGTCTATTAAGGGATTGAGCGAGTGAGTGCCCAGCTGTCATGTGCACACCTTTCCGGTAAAAATCCTCATGTCCCCGCTGGGCAGCCCAGCCTGGTGGTTCTGCCTCAGCTTCCCCATTCAGTCTTGGAAGGCCGCGGGGCAGGGACAGCCGGAAGCCAGGGCCACGCAGGGATGGCCGCAAAGAGCCAGCTGACGTCGAGGGCCGTCCAGACCCCACTCTCGGACACCCCAGCCTGGACGGCGGCGGACCAGATCGCGGAGCCGCCCAGCGCGAGAAAGCTGTCCTGCGGCGCCACCTAGTGGCCAGAGTGGCCGCTCGGCCCCTCCAGAGTCTGGCAGAGACTCTGCAGGAACCTACTGCTTCGCTGGGACATTGGAACACAAAATGTCCCTCCACCCTGGGGACCGTATTCTGACCACCCCAGGTCGGGAGGAAAAAGAGGTACGGTGGAGTTTGGTCCTTTGCCCTCCTGAGGGGCAGACTCACTCATCCCACCTGGACATCTCTGCCTTCATCTATCTGATTCGTGCATTTATGGAGCCCTTACTATATGCCAGGCTCTGTTCCAGGCGCTAGTGAACAAAGAAAGATCCCTGCCTTTGTAGAGTTTACAGTGGAGAATGGGTGAGGAAACAGTCAATAAACAATAAGTGAGTGGGACTTCCCTTGTGGGCAGTGGTTAAGACTCCATGCTCCTCGTTCAGGGGGCCCAGGTTTGATCCCTGCTCAGGAAACTAGATCCCACATGCATACCACAACTAAGAGTTTGCATGCCACAACTAAGGAGCCCTCCTGCCACAGCTAGGACTCGGTGCAACCAAAAAATAAAATAAAATAAAATAAAATAAAACAATAAATGAAGATAATAAAAGAAATTAAAAGACAATCTGGCTATTTCAGAAGCAGGAGAAAAAGAGCCTGTCTGACAGCATCACTGAGCTCCAGGGGACCCACAACCCTCAGGGCAAATCCATGGAGCCTGATGCCAATGAAACCATGCAGCCCTCCTTGCTCCTCTGGGGCCACTCCTGTCCCAAGGGACATGCCCTCGCTACAGGATCCTCCTGCCTGAGATACTCCCCTCCCATATGGCCAGCTTCTCTTCTCCAGAGTCCTCCTGACTCCCACCCAGCGCCCCAGCAATGCTCTCCTGGGTGGCTGGCACTGGGGAGCAGTGCATAACTGCTCAGGCCAGGCTGTCTGTCTTGATTCCCAGCTCTGATACCACCTTGTGACCTGGACAGGTTCCTTGGCCTCTCTGTGCCCATTTCCTCATTTGTAAAATGGGGAGAGCAGTTGTTCCTGCTCCAGAGGAGGGGAGGGCAGTGGTGGTATAAGTGAGTTAACAAATGTAAAACACTTAAGACAGCACCTTGACACAGTGTTTGTTATTATTAACGTCTGTTTAGGTTTTTCCCTCCTGGACTAGCTGATGGAGGTTAGTGAGGTTCATTCACAAAGGACCAACTGAGTCACCTCCATGTCCTACACTCTACAGCGTCAGGTATACAAAAGGATCTCAGAACATGTTTGTAAGGTGAATTCAGTGGTTCCCCCTCATTCACCACTGATTTATTGAGTGCCTCTGCATGCCAAGTACTGGGCTAGGAGCTGCAGATGGAGCAGTGAACAAGACAGGTTTCCTCCCCACAGCAAGAAGAGTACTAATTTCTAAGCCAGAAGTTCTCAAACTATTTTGTCTAAGAACTCTTTACTCTTAAAAAAATTCAGGTCTCAAAGAGCTTTTGTATGTGTAACTATCTAACAAGAGTTACCATGTTAGAAACTAAAACAGAATTTTTAAAAATACTTATTAATTCATTTAAAACAACAATAACAAGCCCACATATTAACATAAGTGACATATTTTAATGAAAACAAAACAAAATAGTGGGAAAACACTGATATTGTTTTGCATTTTTGCAAATGTCTCTAATGGAAGATAGCTGGATTCTCATCCCGAACTAGATCTGTGCGATATGTTGCTCTGGTTGAAGTATATGAAAAAATACTTCCAAAAATACATTCCCCTTTTTCGTAAAAATTGAGAATACTAACACTCCGTCCCCACCCCGGGCTCGCCCACTACGGATACGCCTGACGGGAGAGGACTGACCCACCAGGCTGGGCTAGCGGTGGACGGCTTCCGGGAGAAGGCGGGGCCTGGCTCCCAAAGGGTCGGTGGGGTTGCGATTGGACGACAAGTGCGTCCTTCGGCGCGTTGGCCCCGCCTCCAGATCCCGCCCAGTGGTAAACCTAACGCCTGCGTCCTAAGGAAGGCGGGCACTTCCGCCCGCCCACTGCGGAACCTTTTGTTCTAGCTCGCGTTTCCACCGAAACGACAAGGGCGGCCAAGGCGGAAGTAGTTGAGGCGTGTGGGCGGAGCTAAGCACCGCTATGTCGGTTTCCTTGCTGCGGCGAGGTTTGGAGCTTTTGGGGGTGCCTGAGGGTGAGGAGCTTCTTCCCAGAGACGTCCAGCCTGGGCGGGAAGGCGGCAGGGGCTGGGGGCAGGAGCCCCGAGGGTGCGAACGATCCAGACCGGGCTTAGCCTCGGTGGGATGGGAACCCTGAGCGCCCTCCGAACCGAGTCGGTTCCTCTCTTCCCCTACAGCCCCCAGGGACGCTCCAGGCCAAACCAAGACGAGCGAGGCTCCGATGAAGCGGACGCGGAAGGCAAAGGCGGCCCAGGCCCAGAAACTGCGGAACTCGGCCAAGGGAAAGGTGCCCAAATCGGCGCTGGGTGAGCTCGGGAAGGGGCTGGACGCGCTGCTCCCGGGGTCGGGGGGCGGTGCCGGGGAGGAAGGGGCGCTAGAGTGAGGGCTTGAAATGTTACCCAGGAGTTTCTAGAATACCTGCTGTGCGACGGGCGCGGGGCGGGACCCTGGGAACACGGAGGTGAACGAATCACATTGTCCCGGCCTTCAAGGTCTACAGCCCTAGTAGGGAGAGAAGCATCGAAGAGTTTCAAAATCAGCGTATGGTTGCTGTGATGGGGTCTATGCATTAAGACTGTGGTGCTCTGAGAGGGACTTAGAATGAAAGGCCAAATCGGGCTTCTCTGAGAAAGCAACAGTTAAGCCCAGACCCGATGGAAGTATACGAGTGAACCGGGGGAAGAGTATTCTAGAGAGAATGGCATATGCGGAGTCAGAAAGAAGTTTATTGCCTTTGAAATCTCGAAAAAAAAAGAAGCCTGGTCAAAGTGACATACAGAGAACGAGGGTCAGAGACGGAGCATTAAATAAAATTAATACTCCGTGTGCCAGGTGCTGTTCTAAGCCTCGTACAAATGTTTGCTCATGTAATTGCTCCCAGCAACCCTGTGAGGTCGGCACTATCATTACCTCCATTTTACAGAAGCAGAAACAGGCCCCTGCCCAGATAGTACAGGTAGAAACCAGGCAGCTTGTCTCCAGAGCCCTGATCCCACCTACTGCTTCAAGATGCTATGGCCTGGGCAGTGGTGATGGTGCAGAGATAAGAGAATTGTGCAGGTGGAAGATGCGGTGAGGAGGGGGCATTGATGGCGTCAGTGGTGAATTGGCTGTGAGGATGGAGGAAGAGGGAGTCAGCGAGTACGGAATATCTTGGGGGATGTGGCGCCACTTAACGAGACCTACAGACTTGAGGAGCTGGAGTGGGCAGGAATGCAGGGGG